TTGCCTTCCCTCTCGCTCGCGTCTCTCGCTGATTAATATGTATAATATATATATATATATATATGTATGTATTTATTTAATATTAATAAAAAAGACATCTTATATAGAAACACATTTATTTACCTGATCATTTTGTTTTCTTTTGAGCCAAACTTGTCTCTTCATCCTGTGCTTAATTGAGTGGATGGAGACAGTGGCAGGATGTGCTGCATTGCACTATATAGTTTACCAACTTAATGCAATGCACAGGAATCTTATAAGTTTCTTACTATTTGTAATGTTAATTCACTTTGCCCCTCTCAGCTGCTGCATTCTAATTTGATGTGTTCATACTGTTTTGTAGAGCGTGATGAGTTACGTGAAGACATTGAACAGCTGTGTATGCAGCAAGCTGGTCCTGGTTACCTTGCTGTGGCTACTCGAATGCATTTTCAGAGGTATATTATTTATCTCAAGTCCATCAGATGAAGTTGTTATCATTAATATTTTTTTTGGTAGGTATGCATTGGCATTATCTTTTCAAATTGGAAATAAGAATGCATTGTGAATTTATCCCCCCCATCAGGACAGCTGGCTTGGAGCAGGAGATTGAGAGCTTGAAAAAGAAGTTAACTGCTTGCACTAGAGAGAAGTTAAATCTCCAAGAGGAGCTTTCGGAAGCTTACCATATCAAAGTGAGGCTCCTTACCTTTTTTCACTTTGTTATTTTTTATTTTTATAAGCACTTGCATAGTCCTACTGCCAACAATCTTACATGTTTCCTATTTTGTCTCAAGGCCAGTTGGCTGATTTACATGCTGCAGAGGTATCAAAGGTATCGCTCTCTTTCTCTCTCTACATCCAGCACATGTGTTCACATTGGAGGTGTTGGCAGGAAGTTAACTTGTGAATTATTCACTAATGGAATGGTAGCTATCCTACTAGTCTTAGGTTTTTGGGCAAAGAATGCCTACTGGTTTATTCTTTTAGATTGCATACTGATTGAAGTGATAAAACACTATGCCAATGACATTTCCCACTTTCTGGAGGGTTTCTTTGCTCCATTATTTTTGTAAGATAAGATGGTCTTGTTTTTGCATGAAAACTAATGATTGGCTTGTAAAGTCTAAATTAACAGTGGTATGGTTCATTGTTTTCAGTAGGGACAGAGAAAGGCATCCAATGGGGATATTTTTCAAGGTAGGTTGGCCATCATAATATTGATCCTTGTAATCTGATTCCATTTATTTATTTTTTCCTTTTCAGAATATGGAAGCAAAGAAGCAGGTTAAATTTTTCCAAGGTTGTGTTGCTTCTGCATTTGCTGAACGAGATCATTCAATAATGGAGGTTACTACTTTTTCCCCTCTTAAAGTTTCTATGTTCTGCTTGGTGCACAGGAGAAGGTTGGGGTTTAATGCCAAAAAAAAATTTTTACATATTTAGCAAAGAAAGCACATTTATTTGATGGTATACACCTGGTAAACTTAGAACAGCAGAAGAACACATCTGACAATCCATCAACTGACAACAGTAGCTGAAATGTTGAAGGTGATTGCTCACATCCGTGGGTTTTAGTCTCAACTCAAAGGAGTTGGGGATAGAAGGAAATAAATAATATCTAACATCTGGTGAGTGATTGTGTTCATCAATAGAGGTTAGTTTTAATTCACGTAGTTGGGAATACCGTGCGTGTAACTAAAAGCAGAAGGTGGCCGACTATAAATTGGTCTTTTTATGTGGGTTTCTATAATTTTTAAAAGGGACCACTTAGGCCACATTAAGTAACATTCATATAATTATATGGGCTTATAAGAAGTGGGTAGCATTTCTAAATTTAGATAGTAATCGTCTACGAAGCATGGACACGACCTCATTAAGTAACATTAAGTAACATTCAGTAACATTAAGTAGGCCACATTAAGTAACATTCATATAATTATATGGGCTTATAAGAAGTGGGTAGCATTTCTAAATTTAGATAGTAATCGTCTACGAAGCATGGACACGACCTCATTAAGTAACATTAAGTAACATTCAGTAACATTAAGTAGGCCACATTAAGTAACATTCATATAAATCGTCTACGAAGCCATCGACCTCGACCTCCATCCAGTCGACTTCAACCACCGTAAGCCTCTCTCTCTCTCTCTCTTAGCTTGACTTGTTTATATGAAGAGCTAATATTGAACGAGTTTTTAACGAATTGATATTGAACTAGTTTTTTCGGGAGTATGAATTTGCTTGTCTATGTATGAATATCCCACAATCTTGTTCGAATTCTTTTCTATATTTGTCATACTTGTATTAGGTTGCCATGTTTTTCTGTTTACCGTGTGTTATTTATCGTGGTATGCTAATTCTTTCAGATATCCAGTGACGAAGCTGTAGAAACAGTGCAACAAATGATTCCTTTCTGTGATATCAGAACCATTGTTTGTGATTAATTCAAAACATAATGATCATTGTTATAGCATCATTTTATTAATCAAAATGGAGTATTGGAATTTCTTGAATTGTAAAAGACCCAACCATGGTTTGGAAGCCATGGCCATACAACTTTGTGGAAAAAAAGAAGAAGGTGGTTTTAGACCAAGCCAAAGCATCCTGATCACCTTGATTGATTTCTAAATCCTAATGTAGACCAAAGAATGCTTCCATAGATTGGATTGCCCAATCCGCCAAAGCTCTCTGAAGTCGGGGATTTCATACCGTACAACTCTCAGACACATCTAAGTAATTCTCTACAGATGCATTGGTGTCGATTGCTAACAGCAAAAAAACTGGGAAAATCTCCGTAAGAGGTGAATGACCACACCATGGTTCAAGTCAAAACCTCACTCTTCTCATATTACCCACCTTAAAGAAGATTCTTTGGTTGAGCATTAATCAATAGGAAGAGCATTCTAAGCAACAATTATGCAGCCTTTCTGATCTATAGAATTAAAGTTCATCTGTGACTGATTCCTATAGATTGTGTTTGCATCCCCATGTCAAAGTTGCCCATATAATGGTGTTATTGACTCTGATGAAACTGTCATGTCTTGAAATATTATTTATTTGCAAGAACAGAGGTGACTGCATTTGAACACCGGGGTGAACGGATGGTATTGCAGAAGCAAACATGCCCCCGCTTTCTCTTTTTCTCCCAACATACACAGATGTGTTACACTTACTAGAAAAGTTGTTCAATTGGAAATATTGTATAGCAAAAGACCAAGAAATATTCGCGTGAACATCGTGCTTCACTACAACAGCTTCCCTGTGGAACTCCATTAATTGGTTCCTGACTCTGGATTTTGCTGCTCTAGTGTTGTTTTGAACAGTGTTTCTCTTACAAATTGCTAGATGTTGAGTGGGTGTGACAAGTTGCAAAAAGTACTTCCTTTATCTGATTTAGTTGAACTTGTGACACTGATCTGAGGTTTGCCAATTTGAGTGAGAATGAACTCTCCCTCTAGCCTATATATTCTGTGTTGTACAGTGATGTGTATCAATTTTCTTGTTAACATTGTACTCGGTAGTCAGTACTAACTTACTATTATGTTTGCAGGATAGTCATGATACAGATGATCCGAAACAGAGCACTGCTGATATGACAGTATTTGTGAGTTCCGTAACCATAACAAAATGCATAAGTATATGTTTCTTGTCAATTTTTTCTTGGAATTAATGAAAGAGTTATTGAGAATCTGAGATAGCTCCACATGTCTATAAATGGCGGTAATGAAGGCCTGCATTCTTGGTAGGTTAGGAGTTCAAAGATCCCCTGTTCTAGTAGTTATGGGCCTCTAGAGGAACCAATATTAATTGAGCTCATTTCAGATCAGCCAGAGGTTCACTCATGACCAGGCTTGATAATATTTTGAGACTCATATAAACAAGGGAAGAAAGTTATAAAACCACATTCTCTTCCTTATATTTTACAATAAGCATGGATCGTATCTTCTTCCTTTGAAATTGTATGCCCTTTGATTTAAGTAAATAAGCCACCGTATTTACTGAAATTTTCATATTTGTTTTTCAGGTGCAAAATCTTCTGCAACAAATGGTGAGTCTTTTACTTCTCAATTTTTTAGGGTTTTATATAAATTCAACACCACTGTTCATGAGTCAATCATAATATTTTTGAATTTAAGCTTGGTGATCTGCTTTGGTTTATGTAATTTGGTTGGAGTTTCCTCACATTCATTTTAAACAAGTTCCTGGTCAGCGGTATTGTCCACCCGTGGAAGTCTTTAAGAGTTGCTGCAGAGAATTTAAAAAAGGTTATGTGAGACCAAACAGCTCCCGGTATTGATCTCTCTTTTGTTGATCAAGGTGGAGAGAGGAATCGATCAGAACTAGTAGAACCTCATCTGGTAGTCCAAATGGACACAGAGAGTTCTGTACTGTAGCAGAAAACCTGCCTCGACTATTGTTTTGAAAAACCAATAAAGGTGAGAAATTTATAATACATTCACATACGCAAAGAGCATTGCCTCGACTATTGGGTTTCAATTTCTCTATTTCGTTTATTTTTTAATTAATTTTATATATTTATCATGGTTCTCTAATAAATTTTCCAATTATGTTTCTTTATTAGGTGCCTTACATCACTACTGCTTTGTTGGATGCGAAGCTTGGCACGGAAGGCCGCAAGGATATTTTTGATTGGCTATCTAGGCAACTTAGTGGATTAAGCAATTTTCCTGATGCTGTAAATCTGAATTATGTATTGTTTCAAATTGTTATGCGAGATGGATGTGACTTGTGAATGAAAACTTAGAATAGTAATATTGTGTCGAATGTTAATGAATTATGTATTGTGTCGAATGTTAATGATTTAGTTAATTTGAATGATGCTTTAAAATTACAGGTTTATTATGGATTGAATGAATTATTAGGAATTACAGGTGTATTGTTTTCCTGCTATGGTGACCAATTTATTAGTCGCGACAAATAAATAAATTTTTTTTGCGAAAAATGACAATTGCCGACCAAGAGTTTTGGTCGCAAAAAATACATCTATTGCCGACCAAAACACCTCTTGGTCGTGGAATCTCACTTTTGCCGACCAAAAGTTTTGGTCTCGAAAAGTAACAAATGGCGACCAAATTTTTTGGTCGCAAAATGTGATAATTGGCGACCAAAAAATTTGGTCGCAAAATGTGACAATTGGCGACTAAGAAATTTGGTCGGGAAAATATCACTTTTCGCGACTAAAGTGTGTTAGCGACAAAATAAATTAGTCGCGGTAATTAAATATTTAGCGACCAAAAATTTAGTCGGCAAATCCAACTTTTGCCGACCAACCAAAATTTTGGTCGCGAATTACTTTTGCCGACCCCCAATTGGCGACCAAAGTAGCGACCAAAAAAATTGGTCGCGGATAACTTTTGCCGACCAAAAATTGACTTTTAGCGACCAATTTTTTTGTTGCCAAAAGTGTTAATTCTTGTAGTGAATATGAAGGATAGGGATAAGTAATGGATGATAAGGTGAGGGAGGGTTATGGAAATCCAAGTAGAGTGGCGTTGCTGGTGGAATTATGAGTGGAAGGGACAATTTTGTGGGGATAGGGTGGGAGATGAGTGAGGTAATACATGTAAAGAGTGACTAGTGGTGTAACTATGAGTGGAAAGATCAATACTATTAAATTTGAGTTTATTTCATTAAATTTATTCTTTTCCTTTTCTGTAACACATGTTTGCACCATATACCTTTGTAATTGCATAAGAGGTTGTACGAGTAAGTTCTTAATGTTGCAGGGTGTTTGTTTTAAGTCCCTTGGGCTCTAATTTATTTAGTCAATGACTAAAACTTATATCAAATTTAAAATTGGTTAAAAATACTCAAACTAGACTCAACGTGGTAAATTTGAGAACCATAAGACAATTTTGAAGATTTTGAGTAAATATTTGAGTCTCCTTTTAATTGAATAAAAATCAAATTGCTATAAAAATCAGGTGATGTTTGATAATCTAAATTGACACTTAAAAGTTAATGTAATATAATAAGTCCATTTGATAATTATAATTAATGCCACTTTAAAAATTAAGTGTCATTTAAAATGTAAGTTAATTTTTTCTTTAAAAAAAATTAAGTAATTAGAAACTTATTTAATGCTTATTGAATTTATAACTACATGTAGGGTTGCAAACGAGTCAAATCGAGCTTTACTGAGCTTGAGCTCGACTTGTTTGTTTATAGAGCTCAATTATCAAGCTTGAGCTCGGCTTGACTCGTCAATATTAGTCAAGCTTGAAACTCGATAAAGAAATTATTATCGACAATTGTTAATGTGCATCGTTATAATGTCACCACCACCACTACTACCACCATCGTCACCACTACTATCACTGTCACTTTCATCGCTATACCTCTCACTACCACCACTACCGCTGCCACTATTATCACTGCCATCCTAATAGTTACAACCAGTATTACTGCTACCACTTTTCCACCACTATTATTCTTATCGTCGCAAGCAACACTGTCATTTTTCTACCACCACTACTGCAGTCATCATTGCCATTACCACTATCACTATTACTACCACAACCCGTTACCTCCACCACCATGGTCACTTCTACCACCGTTATCATTCCACTACTATCACCACTACTACTACTACATAGTTGCCGCCGCTACCACTGCACCACTACAACTACTGCCATCATAGCTTTATCTCCATTATATCACCATTCCATAACCACCATAACCACTATACTTGTTTTAGAGCTAATTTACCCTTCTCATTTACATGTAATGAATTGTATAAGTCGTTTAAGTATACAAAAGTAGAAGGATCTTGACATTTTGAAGAGAGAGAGAGAGAGAGAGGTCCATTGGCCCAATCAAAGTGTAAGGTGTCCAAAAAGGTTCAAAATTCATCTATAAGAGCA